CGCGGTTAATCCGCGGCGCGGTGGGCAAGGAGTCGTAACCGCGCGGGGAGCTTCTCCTTCGGGAGGGCAGGGGGTCCGCTAAGAGCCCGGCTTGGGGAGGGCGGGGTTATGAGACGCGGTTCACGCCGCCACGCTCGGCCCAGGCTGACCTTGTTTCTGCTGTAACAAGAGAAAAAAAGTGAGAAAGAAAAGCTCCTGCTTTTAAAATGAAAATGTCTTTTGTGAACAAGCAGGCAACTGGCATGACAAAGTGGCTTTTTATATAGCGCTGGAAAGCACCCAGCAAATGAATACGACCAAAAAAGGAAAAAGAAACCCAGAGCAGCCAGTTACTAACCAGCACTCGGGCGCTCTCCAGGGCAGGCTGTAAAAATAGGCAGCCGAGCTCGAGCTCAGGGACAGGCAGAGGTAGGACGGGCAGAGGTAGGACGGGTATAGAAGTAGACGGCAGGCGTTGTGCGAAGAGCACAAACTGGAATAAGGACATTGCCAGCTCCTGTCACTCTCCTGACCCGTGTCTTTTTTAAGGATATTAAGGGAGGAGGGTTCCTGCGCATTGCCCACGGGGACAGCAACAGCTCCGCAGGACCCTGTGGTTGCTTTCCTTGGAATTTTGATATCAGATGTGCAAGTAAAGCACTCCTAACCTCGCTTGCTGTCACCTGTAAGGTCTTGTAAAGCTGACACAGTCTGTCATTTTTTCAATGCTGACAGAATTTTTGGGCTACCAGAACTATCAATATTAAGGGCCTTATGCAACAAGCAGATGACAACACCTGCTAGTCAATGGGCAGGAGAGACACGTCCTAACCCAAACCAGCCGAGCATTCAGGCCAAGCTGAAGGAGAAATTCATCTGCATATGTTTATAAAGTGTTTATCTTCCCTCCCTTGCAGTGTGTTTCCAAAACATTTCTAAGATGATTTGTCTAGTCCCTTCCCGCCCACACATTACAGCCTCAAATTAGCCTATCTTTATACCACTGCAGTGGAGATAGGAGTTTTCTTCATCAGCAGAAAGAACAAACTGGGCCATCAAGAGAATATATAACCAGAGACTTCCAAAGAATTCCTGCTTACACCAGTTACAGCATCAAGCAGCATTTCGTTACAGGCTGCAGGACGCTCAGAGCGAGGCCCGAACCCCTGTTGGGCCAGGGCAACAGCCCCTATTTTGGGGATGAGCCATATCACAGATCAGCTGATTTTTAAGACTCATATCAGACCCGATGACTAATCTGGAATTAAGGTTTATGACCTTATGTCACAGAATTACAGGCCTATGTCAGGTGTAATGGAACCATTACAAGCTATGAAGGACAATATTTTAAAAAGTCTCCCAAAATGTGAGTCACTTTCCATAGCACTGTGCAGTTACACCTCCTTTTAGAAGAGTCCGATGTATTTAACATGGCCTAGGTCTTGCAACAGTCTACAAAAACAGAAAGCTCCTCTATTTTACAGATAGCCACTGCGGTCAGGCACGAGTTCCTGAAATGACACCCCAGGTCTCAAGCAGAAGCACCTTGTGGTGTCCAGCAAGCCCCAGCTGTCAGGGTCAGGCAGGAGACGGAGCCCGGCCTTGTTTTTAGGCCTAAACCACGGCCTAGGCAGGAGCAGAGCACAAGGCACGAACAGTTGTTCAGACTTCACAGATTTCATGGGGGAGAAAACCAAATCGGGCTCTAGAACATGTAGCTCATCCAAGTACACAGAGGGCTGCGGCCCACTCTGTCCTCCGGCCACGGCCCAGGCCGCGGCTGCTCGGACGGGCACCGGCCATTACTTCACCGCAGGCTGGGAAGGCGGCGAAGAGCTGGAGATGCTGCAAGTACACGGCACCGCTTCCATTGGGAACATCAGCTCTTTGGAATCTATCATGTTTGACCTTGCAGTTATTTACAGCCTTGCCATACTTACGAATATTAAAATTTTCTTTGCAGAGGCGTCCTGAGAAAGGCGCCATCCATAGCAATGTCACGGGGGATTAAATTCTAGCCCTGATGGTGGAATTTTTAAACACAGCCTAATTCTGCTTTCAATCAATGCAGACTCAAGAGCCAAAGCCCAGCCTAGATGAGGAATACTCTTTAGAGCATCATTCTTCACAATTTCACCACCAGGCCCGTATCAATTTCATTTTGTAACTGTTTGATTTCAAGTAGGCCCTACGTAATATTTTCTAAAGTAAGACATATCATTGGAAAAGAGAATCTCTAGAATATAAACACACAAAAACACTTATTCAGAAGTAAAACAGTGTATGGCACATCGTTCTTGCTACAGCTATGTGCATCCATAAGCATCAAGCTCGTTAACTGTCATAGAAAGTTTCCCTCGAGTACTAGCTGTTTGTGTCATGGGCAGATGTGAAACTGTAATGCAATTACTACAACAAATGTATACTAATTTTTTTCCTCAAAGATCAAAGAACACTGAACAATTAAGGCAGATGTGTCACGCTCTCGCTCTACAATAGCGATTACATCTTATTTGTCGCTTTCTTTAAGCACTAGTCTCTTTAGAAAGACAAAGCTATCCTGAAAAAGCTGTAGCCACTAGTGACATGCACTGCAGCATATTTTAGTCCCCTTGCTCCAAGAACAAGCAAACTGCTTTGTGACTAAACCAGCAGACTAGAAACTGTTCAGACAAAACAGTGGCAGTTCCGTTGCCTCCTGCTCCTAAACTGAGAGATATTTTAAGTACAGATTCCATTCAAATGCAAAGGGAAAAAAAAGTGACATTTGATTCTCCTGTAGATAAGTCCTGACCTCCAGGATTCACCCCATTTGCACACAAGGATAACCTATCTCCTCCTCCCGAGGGAGGTACTGAAATGTCCCGATAAGATAAATGACTGCCTGGCAAAAGGCTTTGTACTTTCTTCTAATGAGCTCAAAGGTATTAACCTTTGGGCCAGAAGAAATGCCTCCGTTTTATGAATCTACATGACAACCTGGGAATAACCAGGCTCAGCGACGCACAAGAAGCCCAGCAACTTCTGCTTCACGAAGCACATCTGCCAGCAAACCCCGCGGGCTCCACTTAGAGAAGTGACCTAGCAAAATAATCCGGGATGCAAAATGCATCCTTCAGTAACGCAGGCTGCGGGACGGGGCTGCCAGCCCGCGCCGCGAGCGGGAACCTTGGGAAAAACATGGGCAGGACAGAGCTTTTCAGCATCTACAGTAATATTTTACATAAATACAGCATATTTCATATGCGAATGGTTTCTAAACACAACAGCGTTAAAAAGCCAGCGCGGGTGCAGCGGCCAGGACGGCTCCTCCCAGGCAGGGTCTCGTTGGCAGCAGCAGAGCTTCTCTGCAAATGAGATCTGTGTTGCTCATGCATGTTACACATCCTGTATTTTCCACAGAAAATACCATTTAAGATACACTTCAGATTTGGGAAGACCCGGATCTTTGCTTTAGATTTCAAAACACCAGGATGTGGTGAGCGCGGGTGCAGCGGCCAGGACGGCTCCTCCCAGGCAGGGTCTCGTTGGCAGCAGCAGAGCTTCTCTGCAAATGAGATCTGTGTTGCTCATGCATGTTACACATCCTGTATTTTCCACAGAAAATACCATTTAAGATACACTTCAGATTTGGGAAGACCCGGATCTTTGCTTTAGATTTCAAAACACCAGGATGTAGGATGTTAACTGCTTCCTAATACAAAATAAATCTGTGGGCTAAGCCAGGAAGTCCTACTGTGGCTTAGGAGGGAAACAACCTCAAGTTTTAGCGAGAATTTACCCCAAAACTAAAATATTCCAAAAACAAGCCACACCACCAAGTCTGGTGTGATCTTTCACATCAGTAGCAGCTTGTGTGTTGCCTGCAGAAAACACACACATCATTTGTCATACATCATTTTTCATACTATGACATGGTTCCATTTGTCTGCACAATTTCCTAGGGGAAAAAAAAAATGCTTTAACCAATTTTCATTATATAAGCTGAGAAACGAGCAAAAAGCAGAATGACTTGATCTCATGTGGTAAGGGTTCGAGGTGAAAACTCTTTGTTCAGAGAGAAAAGGAATTAACCATGCAGCTTGTTCATATATGTTGGAAGATTTGGCATAAACCAGCATAGTGCAATCCATGAAAAGAGTGTTCACAGCTAGCTAGATTTCCCAGGAAGTCGATTTGCTCTTTCTGCAAGGAAGCCACACATTTTCTGTGACAACTGAACTGAATAGACCAAGCGGCATCTCCGTTAGCTCCCCGCTCCCCGCGAAGCTCCTCCGGGATAACCTACCGTCCAGCTATCCGTCCTTCTGTCCTTATAGAAACTCTGGCTTCTTCTCTGGAGAGAGACCAGTGTGAAGTCTGTTCCATCTGCTTTTTCTGAAGTCTGCTTGGTCCACACTTTTCCAGAAGCCTGTTTAAAAAAGTTGCATATACATTATATAAACATAGATACACATACATACATATTTAAGTACACCCTTTTCAATGAACGGAGAGGAAGTGCAGAGTTGAAACTGCAATACAGAAAAGCATCGTGCCCACCAATACCCCATGGCTGTGTCATGTCCTGGCGTCACCGCGTCAGCAGAACCACCTGCATTTCACCCACATGGCTTTCTCAAAAAAAGAGAAATATTACCCAGATCATCACTGTTTGCTACTTGCAAAATAAACACAAACTAGTTCTTTTCGAACAATTATAGAGCTGTAAACCTAAGAATTTACCGTATTAGCACTCAGAGCAATAGTAATATGTAAGCATCTTTAAAACTTTTTTGGTGCTCTATGGAATGTCAACACATATTTAAGCACTTAAGAAGTCTAGTCATCTATTATAATAAAGATTCCTCAAACAAACCCAGCCCAAAAGGAAATAAACTCTGTTAAAAAGAAAGCAAAATATTGTCCCCTGCATCTGATGGATACAGCTCTCTACGTGGGCTTACTGGCAGCAAACTCAGGTCTAACACCAAAAAGAAAGGGGGACAGAAAGGTAATAAAGCTTTTCTTCACTTTCAATTTTGGTTTCAGGAAGCACTTAAATTCTGTAATTTTGTATTACCTTTTTATCTTCATGGAAGAAAGATTCCGACTGAGATGACATCTTTTTTTTCCACCCATTTTCCACACTTTCTGGTGGGAAGCTCTGTCTGAATCGGTACAGGTCCTTCCTTCCCCTTGCTTCTTTCATGAGCGGCACGTTGTCTTTTCCTTGGCGGCTCTTTTCCGAGTAGGATCGTCTCAAATCCGGCGGGGCACTTCCCCAGGTGGACGTGTAGCTTTTCCAATCCGTTTTACTCTTCACATTGGAAGAGTCGCTGTCACGTGAAGTCTTGCTGGCATCGTCTCTGCTCTTACTTATATAGCTCCTTGTTACATCTTTGCTCCAGTCGCTCTCTGAAGCCACCTCCAAGAATTGTTCTTTTGTGACCAACTTCTTCTGCAACTGGCCAACATCAGCCTTTACAGACAACTTAGAAGCCAAATTGATTTCCAACTTTTGGCCTGTGCCAACTACACTTGCAGGCTGTAACTTGTCATTCGCAAACGTTGAACTTTGTTGCCTGGAAATTAAGTTCGTTTCTTGATCTTCATCGATGATGAATGTTTTTTTTCTGGTGAACTCCACAGGTGAATTTACCAACTTATCTGAGAACAAGCTGCTAGGACTGCCCCAGTAGGGAGGGCTGAACTTTCTGTCTTTGGACTTCTGCTTATCAAATTCAGAGCCAAAGGATTCCAGTTTCTCACTGTTCTTTTCATTCAGGATTAATTTCTCTGGCCTGTTGTAGTCTTCTGCACTGTCACCTTGTTTGTTTTTAGCAAAACAGTGATCCAATCCCTTCCTCTCTTTCCAACTATAGGAAGAAGTCCAATCTGACACATTTCTTTTGTTCTTTGGAAACTCCTTATTAAATAAACTGTGATCTTCAGAGGGTTTGTCCTGAATCACCGATTCTTCTTTATATTCTGCCATAAGTGCATCAATATCAAGAATTCGTGATCTATAGCCATGCTCAGCCTTCCCTGCAGCTATATCAAACTGGCTTTCACTACTCTTCTGGCTTACCAGCTCGCTGCTTTTATGCAACTGTGCAAAAAGTTGGGAGGATCTGTGTTCATAGTAAGGAGAGACCTTTCTGCCACTACTTCTGAGATCAGTTTGAGGTGTATTTTCCAGGTCCTGTTTTAACAGGAAAGCATCAACATCTATAGTTTTGTCTTTAGAACAATCTTGACTTCTTTCATGATACTTTTGGTTATCCTTCCCAGCTACCTGAAAATTAGTGACTGCAATGCTTTTGGAAGAGTTAGCTTCATTCTTTTCTTCCTCTTTGACCCAATCCTTATTAACATATACATCTCGTGAGTCTTCTCTACAATTTGCATGTGTTATATTTTTATTTGGTGGTTGTAACACAGGTTTGGACTTTTTGGAAAAAATAGGATCCAAATTCGTTGTTAGTACCTCACTGGAGGGAGAAATTTTACACGTTTCACTTGCACTAGGAGTACCAAAGCTTTTCTCTTTCTTGTCACCAGGAACCTGATAAGTAACTGCAAAATAAGTCGCCTTTGGTTCAAAAGCAGAACTCTGATTTTTCAAGTAGTCATCAGCAGTTTGGTTTGGCTCATCTCCTTCGGTGCCTTCTTTGCTCTTCTTGCTTCTCTTTTTAACTGAACCTTCTTCCAATTGCAAGAACTCTGTCCTGTTCAGCCTCTTGATACTCTCGGGAGTGAGCAAGCCAACGTCTTCTGTCCTGATTGAATCCTGAGGCAAGGTCTTCCTTCTCCATCTGTCTGAAATTTTCAAGTCTGCGATGCTACTTTTGGTTCTCCTGATCTTTTCCTCCGGTTCTGTCACTCTGAATTTCTCTCTACTTTCATGTGCTTTCCTATCCAAGCTAAAGCTCTGCTCCACGCTCTTTGAGTCCAGACACTTCCTTAAATCAAAGGCTCTGGGTTTTTCTTTGCTAGTGGATTGTACTTCCATATCAGGATGGTGGCTACTGGGAGATTTACATACTTGTCCACTTGAAAGCGCTGATGAGGACTGGGCCCCATGTTTATTTACACTGGTTAAAATAACTTCATGACCAAAGTTGGTTCTGAATTCATGGCCATCTGCTCTGCCTGATCTTACGCTCCTTTTCTCAAAAGGATATTTCATCACATTAGGCCTCTCTGCGGAAGGGACTTCACTCTCCTCATTTTTAACTTCAGAATGTAGTTTATTTGCTTGCTCATTTATTCCCAAGCTTTTACTTTTGTCTGTAGAATAATGTATTTTCTCTGCTATTAATATTGGAGCAGTTTCATGTTTTCCAGGGTCCTTTTTCTGTGCAGGTAAAGCACATCCACTGAGGGAAAAGTCATTAGGTTCTTTAAAAGTAAACCTGCTTGGAAATGCTTTTGTGTCCTTAGTGTCTGAAGTAATACTAGCTTCTTTCACGTAGTCGGTTTTATTATTTAGCCTGGCTGGCTGTTCAGGGTGTAAAACATCCCCATCATTTTTCTGCTCCTTCACAGACGATTTTCTCGTTCTGAGTGTCACGGCCTTTTTCTCAGGAGCCATCGTAATGGCTTCGCTGAGAACTCTCTCACCAAATGTCTGAAAGATTTCATATCTCGGCTCTACTCTTTGGTGAGTTACAGAGTCCTCCACATTTGCAGGGCTGTGTTTTTCACTTTTTTCAACAGCACGTTTTTCTAATAGAATTGTCTGAGCCGTTTTCTTGCCTTCATTTGTACAAGCCGGGCTTGCACTTTTTTCTACATCTGCTATATGTTTTGACGAATGAGACTGTTTGTGATACTGCTTTGTGCTAGTTGTCTCCTCCGCTGCCTCTCCCACCTGCGAGCCCTTGTTCTGCCCCGGAGCCACCAGCTCAGGCTTCCTGTCCAGCTCGTTATTCACCCTCAGCGCAGGATCAACTCCAGAATGAGCAGCAGCAACGTTGTGTCGCTCAACGTTGTGTCGCTCAACGTTGTGTCGCTCAACGTTGTGTCGCTCAACGTTATGGTCAAACATGGTGGCTCGGACGGTTTTCACATAGGTCTTTTCCATAACCGGGGCTGGTTTTAACTTTTTTTCAAAGCTGCTTGTGAATGAGACGGAGTTCTCGCTTTGCAGAGGAAACTGCTGACCATCTCCAAGGAAGTTTCCTTTTCCCTCTGCCTGATCGGCTTTATTGGTTAATTTTAAAATCTGCCGGGCTTTCCAGGCATTCCCAACAGTGCAAGCTTCACTCAAATCTGTGCCATGGGGAAGCTTGGGCTCCTTATTCTGGAAGGAAGAAATCCAATAGTTAGAGTAGTAATATATCTTTTAGATAAACAATGTACTGTCTGCTCTGTGCAACACAACACGCACGGGTTAAACACCCTTATTCTCTAAGCACACAAACATTTTAAACAGCAGATGTAAATCTCTGTTTATCCGCTTTAAACCTCTGTTATAACAGAGTACCTCATACCTTGGTTTTTACTTTTGATAAAAGGAATAAGCATATGAAGAGTCTGTGTTCTTCTAGGCAGAGCACTGGTAGGTTTTAATAGCGACAGATTCTCAAGTAGCAGCTGCATTAATTGAAGATGTTAAAACTATATGAAGTTCCCATTTAACAACCCTAAGAAGCCAAGGGCAAGGTTACATTTTGCTATGCTGAAGTTTTACTTAGAAACAAAGGCAGCTTTTTCAACAGCAGACTACGACTTTCTGTTTCTGCATTTCCAGAACTTCGGAGTTAAACGGCTTGTCCTTGGAGACCGGCACGACACACAGAGCAAGCCCTGAGCACGGGGCTGTGCCTGGGACGCGAAGCGCCCGCGCTGCTGCCGCTGCCAGACCCACGGCAGCCACTCGATTCACTCTGGGCTTCTGTACATCAGAACTTACACTAGAACTTCATCCCTGGCAGCGTTTTTGTCTAGACTGCAGCATGCCTTTAACAGCAACTTTCTAAACACTCAGTGCAGCGACAATACTTTAATCGGTGTGTCCTAAAGATAGAGTTATCCAAGTAAACCTATTAGGATTATGCCATTTTTAATACTCTCAATACCCATGTAAAGTCACTGATTGAGAGAGACAAATAGAACAGAGTATAGCACTATATACACTCAACACAAAAACCTATTTGGAGATTACAGACCGATGCCATTTTCTTACTTTTTCGTGCATTTCATTGGTAGAATCAGTTCTCACATCCGCCAGCTTCTCTGGCTTGACTTCGCTGCTTGATGTTGGACTTGAAAACCTAGAACACAAATTCCCATTACTTCTTTTAGCTCCAGTTAGTTTACAATTATGCTTTCTCCCAAAGCAGACTGAGGATATATCATTCCCTCCATTACTGCATCAAGACCAAAGCATTGCTGTTTCATGAAAAAATGTTATTAAATTTACTTGGATAATGTATAAATTTAGAATCATAATGTGGTGAAGTAATAAAGAAAAAAAAAAAGATACTCTCATCTCTCAGCTTTCTTTATTGCCATCACAAAGTCAAAGGACAAGGTTTGCTGAAGGTTATTGCTCCTCTCTGTAGAGGAGACCCTTTTATGCAGACGCCAGCTGTGCTCATTACATGAAATATTCTGTTATCCCATCCGAGCGCGCTTCCCGCTGCCCCTTCCCGCCGGGAACACGAGGTGCCCAGCTCGGTGGCCTCAGACTGGGCTTGCTGCACCCCGCAATACCCTCCCCAGCTCTTATGCCAGTTACAAGCAAATTCTAATGCTATAAATAATCGATTATCCAACTTTAGCCTGAGAGATTACATTATATTTTATATAGAGAGATATTCAATATATCTAACAATTGCCAGGCCTCATTGCTCTAAGAGCATTGCTCCAAACCATCAGAAAGGGCCTCCAGAAGCAGAGGCTGCGAGGGTCTGACCTGCAGCACCGCAAGGGCTTTCCACAGGTCACCAAGACCCTTCTGTACCTGCCAGTGCGAGATCCGAACCCCAAAGAGATCTGAGCCCCAAAGAAATGCAGCCCCAGAAAACAGAAGGGCTCCCGGGGTTAAGCCAGGCGCAGGGACAGGTTACAAAGCCTGGCCCAAGCAGCATTAAGTGCCACTCTGACCCTCGAGACTCCCCCAGGCCGGTTGTCTTTATTATATTAATTAGTCCTGCACACGAGGGCAAGCACAGCACTTGCTCACTCAACGTCAAAAGCAATTGTTGAATTTTCAAGCCTTGTTGTACTAAGAAATTACGTTTCTCTGCCCCCGTGCCGCACCGCGGGAAGAAGGTTACGTCACAGATATTTCCATTTCATATCAGGGCTTCAAGAAGATCCCTGTCCGGCCGAACAGCCGATATTCTATACCACGGTCAAAGACACGGCAAACACTTCTGCCCCTGCTGGGCCAAATCAAATCTAGTGCTGCAGTATCCTGAGGAGACTTTTGCGAGGGCGACAGGATGGACATCCCAAACAGCCCAGTAAAACAAGGGAGCTCTCAGCTTATTTTTCGCTTTCTACAAATGCACAAGTGTGCAGACTTGAGAGACCTGGTGATTGCAAAATACAAGGAACTTTTAGAATAGCTATACAGTTACAATAACCTGCAAGAGCCACATTACTGATAGCACATTTTTTTCAGCTGTTAAGATCAAATTTAATCTTTTTTTGGGGGGGTGGAGCAGGTAAAAGATAAGATTGGAAAGAGGATTTATTTTTTTAACTCTCAAATGGATTAAAGAATAATTAAACAGAATGGAACCAAAATACGCAGGTATCTTACTGAATGAGCAAGTTCTAGTGAGTAAGATGAAGCTTTAAGGGAATTAAGTAAAACTTTTCTGAAACCTACATCTTTGTCAAGTCTGCAGAAAGCGGCCGGGACTGGGGCGACCTGCGCAGATGCCCTGGTTTAGCCTCTGTGCCTTCTGTTGTGAGCTCTTTGATTCTCTGCTGGATGTTCACATACCCGTTTTCCCTCTCAGCAGGGGATGGGAGAGGCTCTGTATCCATTGGAACCGTCGGGTTTTCTGAAGCAAACAAACTAATGTGTTTTTTAACGCTGCCCCTTTTGATACTGTTCTCCTTGTCCGAGGCAGCCGCAGGGCTGTCCCGAGTTAGAAGCACACAGGTTTCCTTTAGATCCGCTCTTCTGGCCTCCTGACTAGTTCTGCTGTCACTGCTAGCGTCAGAGCATCTTTCAGAAGCACGCGAGGGAGCCACCCCTTCTGGCTTGGTCTCACTTTGTTCACTTTTACATTTATGCTGCGTTTCCCACAGGTACTTCCCATCGTTCAGGACACCAATGTCATGACTACTGCGCTTCAAGTTTGCTTTAGGAGAACTGTCTTTATTAAATTCCTTGTCTTCATTTTTTGGCCCCATCTCAGGCTGCCCACGACAGCTCACATCAGTAATGTGAGTTAGAGATACGTTCTCCTTGCTCTCGTGAGATGAGCAAGTCTTTTTGCAGGGAGAAGGATCTTTATGTTCAAACTTAGCCGTCAGGTCCATGGACAAAGGCCTGGGTTTTCTGGCCCAGGATTTCTCTGTAGGAGATTTTTCCTCCGCAGGTTCCACCGACTGATGTTTCTGTTCTCTTAATAATTCTAGAAAAGCAGCAGACACCGGTCTGGGTTTTAGCCTTTGCTGCACGTCAGAAAAGCCACTTTTACTGTTGCCGTTGTTTGCGTCATCACTGGATTTCTCTCCTGTAGCATCTTCATAAGCATCCTTCTTGTCACGAGTTTTGAGGGAGTTCCAAGAGACGGGTCTAGGATGGGAAGAGAGCGATACCTGCCTGTGAACGGACCCCTCAGCCCTCCTGCTCAGCTCCGACGGCTGAGGGGGTTTCTCAAGCGTCGCGTTAAACTGCAGCTCTTTTGCTTGTACGGTACCAAAGACCCTGTGGTCCTCAGCAGCCCTTTTCCCTTGGGCCAGGCTGACCTTGGACTGCTCCGTGCCAGCTGTCTCAAACAGGATAACGGTGTTAGCACTGGGACCCGTGTAGAAAGTCATATTGGGGACTACTTCGCTGCTGGCCTTGTTTTCACTTTCAATTACTTTATGCTCTACTAATGGAGGAACATTGCCACTTAATGCCTTAACGGGGGATGTTTCTTCAGTGGCCTTTCTAACAGGATTACTTGGTTTGAAAGCCGTAACAGGTGGCTTCACGTTTGCAAAAGTATCCGAAGATTTCTCTTTCGAAAAGGGCTTTGGGAAGAGCCTCGGTCTCGATGCGAGTGTCGGCATGGTTGCAGATCTCAAAGTACTCGTGAATTTGTTGTTCTCTTCAGGAACCCGTGATGCTGAAGGCTCCTTCGCCTTGTTGCTCGCATCCGAGAGCACACTCATATACACCCGCTGCGATTTATCCTCATTCCTGATTTCTTTCAAGTCAGGTACTGCTGTCAAAGACGCCAAAGCAGAACTAATTTCTACTTTTGTTGCCATAGTTGTAATTACACATTCAACATAATTGGAAAAATCCAACGAGGAAGAAAAATCTACAAAAAAGACCAAAAGAAGTATTGATGTAGAGTCAGCATGAACATCAAATTAACCAATTTTAATTCAAAAGAATGCTACATTTAAATTTTGGAGCATTTAAGATATGCTGTTTTTAGCATATCACAAAAAGGAAGTGGTGCTCTCGATGTTAAAACACAAACCTCAACTCTCTTTTATAATATCAATAGCTATTGATACACGCTGAGCATATATTTTCATACAAAGAGAAAGACAAAATAAAAGAACAGTGACTATGTTATTTGCTAATTTTTAGTCAGAGCCTGCAATTAAACAATGTGAATAGTTTAATTTGTAATTGTAATTTTGTATTCTACGGAGCTCCAAGCAGCTTTGCTCCCACTTACCATAATCTGCATTTCCTGCTGCAGCCAAGTAGCCCGAGCCAAGTCTCTGCTCATAGCGAGCGCCGGGGCTGCCAGATCACGGGAGCAGCACGAGGAGAGCGCCGGGCACGGGGCCCTCCTGCAAAGAGGGAGAGAGCGCTCAGATCCCGGGATAGCAGCACCCAGAGCCACACAGGGGCTCCCACAAAATTTAAAAAAATCACTATTTGAAGGAAACAATCTGGCTCCCACTTTAAAATATAAAGTTACCAGATTTAATTATACAAGAAGAATGCCTAGTTTCAGCTCCTTGTTAAAGGATCAAGAAAAAATTATCACCTGATGCCTGAAGGACGGAACACCGCAGCAAGTGTAAATGATGGTCTTAGCATTAAATTTGCACCCGCGCCGCTGGATGCTGCTTGAAAATTCAAGTGTTGTCAATCAACAATTAAACTCTGAGCTCTGCATTACTCTAATCTCAATTACTTTAATTTACTTTCTGCTGTAAATCTCCTTTTTGTGACTATGCGAAGCAGCACCCGAAAAGCTGCCCTTCTCCAAAACGCTGATTTTCAGTCTGAATGATTTTTATCATGATGAATATTCCCGATATCTTGCCAGAGGCAGGACATGAATTTAGACTTTAATTATATGCTGACTGCAGAGATGAGGGGAAGCAGCAAAAAGTGGAATCTCAGCAACAAGTAACCTGGGTATTTTCAGTGCGATGCTTTCCTCCTAGTGCGATGCGTTTTTGAGCGTTGTGGCCAGCGCAGACGGACGCCCCTGGGTGATGACCCCGGTCATGGAGCGCGTCCCGCTCTCCTGCCGCAGGCTCCCACGTGTCCCTGCTCCGTTTTACGGTCCCGAAACGCCGGGGGTTTGCAGATTCTGCACAACACGGATCCCTTTCGCACGGGAGGATCTCCCGGCTTTCTGAACGGACCATTGCGCCGCATCGCACCCGTTAGCCCCGAGGCCCCCGGGACGGCAGGACCCTCTCCCGGGGCCCCGTCACAAAGAGCCGCCGGTCCCATCGGGACCAAGCTGTTCCTCCCACAGCCCCACGGATCCTTCCTCCTGCTCCCACTCCTTGTTCCAAGGAGCACGACCGGAGCCAATTAACGTGTCCCCACCTTCCCGAGAGGAGAGGAGCGTGCGAGGGGCACTCGGGCCGACAGGGAAGCAGGAACACGCTCTTTCCTAAGAGAAAACCTCCCAAACCAGAAATCAGCTGTTCCTTGCGCAGAGCAGGCTGTCAGGACTCGAGCGTGGGGGTTTTGCATCGTGTTGTCGCTCCTCTTCTTGGCGAGGGAAGCGGGAGGCCGGGTCTGCTCCCGGGGCCAGCGCGGCTCCCGCCGGCAGCGCTCGCCGCTCCGCGCTCCGCTCCCGACCTCCGGCGCGCTGCCCGCCGGCTTCACATCAGCCCAGTTTTCACCCTGCTCTAGTCGAGCCAGCTTTCCAGGTCTTATTACTCAAATGCTTGAGACCTGGCTCAGTCCTGGGAAGTATTTGGAAAATAAGAACAAAACATTTTGCAGGAGGCGGATCACGGACTCTTTCAAGTCGATCAGGCTACTGGAAGAGTGACAACCCAAACACGGGATAAGGAGGAAACATCCCCACTGCTGCCCACAGCCTTGGCCTGCGGGCACCGTCCCCACCTGACGCACACGTCTTGGCTCGGATAAACGTTCTTATCTCCAGGAAGACACTAACTAAGCTGTCGATGTGCAGCATTAACCGTGAACAGGACTGAGACGCTGTCACCTAAATAACGGAGCAGCCCCTCGAGCCGCGGCTCCAGCACGTCCCTCCTTCCCGACCCGCGGTGCCGCGGACACAGCCCTGTGCTCACATCACTGGGATGCAGTTTGGACTACAGGGACAACAGCAGCAACAACCTGCAGGTGATTTTTCCCCCGTGACTCATATGATTATTGCCAACTCCCTCGCTCACAAACAGGAATGTTTCAAACAATGCAGAGCAATCCTGTCTGTAATCGGGCCCCGAATCCCAAAACAGGTAAAGAAATCCGACTGTCTTTTGCAAGAATCAAAAGCATGAAAATTCCACGGAAAGCACATCTCTGCTGTAAAGAAACAAGAGCTTTTTTTTTTCCCTTTTATTGTAAGACTGAAAGCAACAGCGACAAAAATAATGGCTCCAATCAACGGAGTATCTGCACCCATGAACACTAAGAGCACCCAGGGGAACGCAGCGGGCTCCCCGCAGTGAATTGGGCCCACGACTCCCACACGCACACGGACACCCCTACACGTGCAGCTACAGACACCAAAGCTGTCGAGAACGGATGCAGCCCCCTTGGATGCCATGGACACAAAACAGTCCTGCACTCATTTCACAGCTCCTGCATGAAGCATTCCCCCATCAGTTACACGTTACACGGTCTCGAAACCGCCGCGTTATTTCTTTTTTCCCCCCCACTGACTTCACATATTGCAACCATAAAGTCCCCGGCGGTTCATGGCAGTTCCCTGAAGCGCCGGCCCCGCTGCGGCCGCGGCCTGTGGAGCGTTGCCGATGGGATCTGCTCTGTCAACTCCTATTTATTCCATTCACTTGCTTGGGGAACGCGACCGAGAAGAGCTGGGCAGCGAGCGGGTGCGTGAATACGGTCGAGCCCGCAAGACTTGCTACAACGGCCAAAATAAGACCAACAAATAAAACCCCTTCTGAAAAATCCAACCAAGTAAAGCGGGCAAAATTCAGTAAATAAAGACTTTCTCTATTCCTGGATTTAAGACTGATTCTTGGTATTACTGATGTCATTCAGTGAAACTGGATATGTCAGTTATATTTAAGTGGACATATAGAGCTTCAAGTTTGATAAGGGAAAGACTGGAAAAGGTAGAATAGAGGCTTTAATTTTTAACCAAATCTCTGGGTAAAGTCATTCCCCAAGTAAGAAAAAGCAATAAAACACTGCAGTAAAAGCATCTTGTAGCAGATTCACAGCAAGGAGTTTGGTATAGCAAGGCTCCTGTTCTGCTCCATAGTAATCAAAATTAACAGGTTGAAACCTAAAAACCTCCATTCCCAAGCTCATAAGGATGTATCTTAGCACCTGTTATTCCCTGTAAAACTAGAATTACTACTAGAGCTACAAACTCTTGGAGGAGTTTGCAGTATTTCCTGCTCCCTTTCCCGCAGGCAGCTTGTTGGAGGCCGCGAGGCTGCAGCAGGGCCGTGTCTGCCCCGCGCAGCACGAGGCCCTCAACACCCTGTGAGCACCCGAACGTCCCTGTGCTCCTGCAGCGGCACCTCTGCTGCAGGGCAGCTCCCACCCCCGTGTTTTAATATGTGCAACTTCACCGGCTGAAATACTGTGACCCACTGCCACCAAGGGAGAGCAGCCGAGCAGGTGACGAACTAGAGCAACACTGCAGGATGGCAAGAACCTTTGTGCTTACCTGAAGTCTATGTTAATACACGTGGAATGGATAACAGGAATATTCTTAATGCAGCAGGGCAATCAGCTGAACGAAACATCCCTTGGGAAAGCATAGGAGTTGCTGTTAAAATAGAATTCAGTGGCTAAACACAGTTCTTGGCGCCGGAGAAAAGGGTTTAGCCAACGCAGGGGAAGGAGATGCCTCCTCCGACTTCCCTGAGCTTCCGAGACAAGGACTGGTCTGGAGGGGACAGTTTATGAAAATAAATTTAATGCAGTCGCCCACTTCTGCAGCTGTCGGTCCCACGCAGGTTCCATAGCAAAGCTCATACATCACATAAAAAGTAATCCAACGGGATTAACGTATAAAAGTCACAGGCACCACTGCTGAGTAGTAACATTTCTAGCACTTGTGCTTCCTGGAATTGTTTTATTCTGTTCAGAGATAAAAGAATCTGGGGCTGGAATGGACTTAAAACCAGGAGGTTTTGTCTGTACTTATTTCTGGAGAATAGTTTCAGAATTTCAACCTTCCAAATGCGGTATGTGCTTTAGGATTACCAGCCATGCCTTCCTGCTTGGTTGTTGTTGTTGCTTGCACATAACACCCACCACCTTCATTTCAAATTTACCAAAAAGTTTTAAGGCAAGAATCTGTTATTCTTGCTAGCACAAACCAGACACTCGGACCCACCAGCCGAGACGCCGGCTCCACGGCCGTGAACCACGACCCACGACTGCAGAACATGGAAGCTTTTTTCCCTTAATCCCAACTCTTTATGTTGGAAACACCCATCTTTGGGAATATTTGCTTCTCCCTGCAGCAAGCTGGATGCCCGCGCTCCCTCCAACCCGCTGTGCTGCAGCAGGCCAAGTGCATTATCTGTCCAAAAAGTTTCCACCAGTACCAGAAACTACCTAGAGGTTTTCTTCCCAGCTAGCCATGACATTATTGATTTTGCTCTTTGCTCTTTTGATATTTAGCTTAAACGGAGCTCTAGGGAAAAAAATAGAGAGAGAGAACCTGTTCTTTTGACTGAAGCAAACAGCAATTTATTCAAACCTACACTTACACGTATCTTATGCTGCATGGGGAGCTTCATAATCCATCGAGCATCACTCGGTCGCAGGGTCCTGGGGCAAGAAGAGAACCCCAAAGCCTATTCAGGCATGAAGAGGCCCGTCCGCACACGTCAGAAATGACTGACGATTCTTGTGCGGGTTTCTC